CGAACCGTTTATAATTTCTTAATGTTTTAATTTATTCAGAAGATGATTAGAAGATCACTTCTGATGCTTGCGATCTCAAAAATATTCTCTGCTACTGCACGGGGAATATTTTTTGTTTATATTTTGAAAATTATATTGAAAAATATATGGAATCGGCAGTTCACATAGATCATAGATCATAACGGCATTAATTAATTAGATCGTGATCCCTTCTCGATTCTATCATATTTTTGGAACATAAAATTAATGCGACTAGCATATTCCATATAAATACCCGTATCATGACACTCGGATTAAATCCAAAAAAATTTTCTGTCACAAGACTGTCATATAACGGTCATAAATATGTCATAAAGGAAAAATAACGGTCATTTTCAATTAGAATTGATTTTTCAATAGAGAATTGATAATTTTGTTCCCCGGAGGTACAGATTGCCAAAATATATCTGCCAGTAAATAATCTATGAAGCCTTCCCGAATTTTCACACACGAGTAAAAATAATTAATCGTAAATAATTCAGGTACAGCGGCGAATCATTCGATTCAAAAATAGATTCCTCGAAATATAATATAAGTTTCTTCATGACATCTGCAACGAATTGACTGCCAGTTGCGCCCACCCATGACCCCAGGTCTCCCCTCGACAACACGAGCAATCATAGCCCTGAGATCTCTTGGAGAAAAAAAAAACGAGTAATGGCCCGAAGCTCAGGATTGAACTTCCGGCTGTGATCTCGTTCTAATACCTCCCCGAGTGCTCAATCTGTACCATCAAGATAAGGTATTCACTTGCAGCCCCCGATAATCGAACGGCCATCGTGTTATCATCATCTAAAAAACCTCAAACCTCTGGTATTGAGATAATCTGCAATCTGAGAGCGTTGAAAATGACCGTGAGGCAGTGAAGATGGTGAGGAATAATAGAAAGAAAAGAATGTCCATGGGTTTCTTGGTGGTAGCCGACCGGTTGTCCCGATCCAAGCCAACTTGTTATTTCTTCACAACATTTTCTTCATCCATTTCCTCCTTTTGTACTCTACCTGTTTATCCTCGGATCGAGCCTTGCCTCCAACTTTTAAAATAATTCAGAGACAATATTAGTATATGTCACTTGTTCCTCGGCTGCCGTTGGAGTTGGCTCAATACGTATGTTCTTGCTCCATCTCTTTCACATCTTTCACATCTTCCACTTGTCCCCCTTGTCCCTCTTATTCTTCTTATTCCTTATTCCTCTTATTCCTCTCCCTTCTGATTCGCTTGTTCTGATCAAACTTGTCCAGCGGAGAAATCACGAGAGAGAATACGATGGAGGGGGGCTTCAGCACCTGACCCCACACCATCATGAAGAAGAGGTTCCCCCTGAGTATCCCAACAGCGCTCCTGGGACTTCAGTAACCGCTCGTCTCGCTCGCGGTCAAGATCGTTCCAGAGCTCTGGTGAACGAGTCCAAAGAACCCAGTGTTTTCCGTGCCGATGTACATCGAGTGCAATAAAATCCAAATCACTGGTGGGGAACACCCAACATCTCCAGCCAACATCTCACATGCTTCGAGCATTATCTACTTAATCTAGTTCATCTGTTCCCATACTTCCAATTCTCCGCGCCAACTCCCATTTTCTCGTTTAATTAATCCCAATCACAATATATCCCGCAACAATTGCGAGTTAATGGGTCCCTCGTAGCTCGTGGTAATGCATGAGTGGTGTTTCACCATATTGATAACGGTAAACTCGTAGGAAAGTTGATGTGACGACAGGTGTTCTCATTGAAGCTAATACAGCCCATACCCCTGCACACAGACACTCAATAAACAAATAACAAAGACTATTGAGGGAAAAATTCTCTATAGAAAATATATATATATATTGAAGAGAAAATGAGTGATTGTAAACCGGTTTACTGATCGTTAAACGCCAAGTTACACTAAAAGTCTCAAGCTAATCTGAAACTTGTTGTTTTATCCTGATGAGAAGAAGTGTTTGATGATTGAGGAAGGATTCAGGAGTTCAGCCAACTGGCATCTCATTCATTTATTGTTTTCGATTTTCGATTTTATTATGGAGAAGGGACGAGTACCCCTGGGACACGGCAAACCAACAACCCGTTAATGGTCACCTTGCCTCTCGAGTAAACGCCTTCTCCCTGAGAATCCTTTTCCTTTTTCTTTTCCTTCTCCAATTAAAGAGATGAATCTTCACGCTTTTTACTCAGGCCATTCTCTTCTACCAGTGGGAATATCGTCTTGTACTTGCCAACAATATCATTGATCTTTCAGTTGGAACATTACTACGATTTTTATGGTGGGGTCAGTGTTGCTTGAGTGGATCAATGATTTTCATCGGTAAGATGAAATCTTGAGGGATTCAGTGAACAATCGAACAAACTTTATCATCAATTTGTTGATACTTGCTTGAGATGTCATCAACCAAGACCCTCAGGATGCCCCCTGGGCAGAAGCTTACACCAGTTCAACCTCAGTGGTCCAGCTACACCAGCATCTGCGTCAACCGGAAACTTTCCAAAGCCAAGAGCAGTCCAAATGTCTCCAAGCTAGCTCTCACGGTTGCTCATACCGAGTCTCCACCAGTCTCAAGAAAACCCATCGGATTGGGTTCAAAGAAATCATCGCCTCAGGGCAAACAAACACGCATAGCAACTCCACTTCGCTCGCAGAATAATGTCACTATTGTGGAGATCACTGGAGAGCCTTCTTCGGGGTATTCTCATCGTAATGCAAACAAGACTCCGCAGAGAGTCATCAAGAAAGCCATCAACACCACCCCCAGCATTCAGAGACGATCCAAGGATGGATCTTGCACGATTCTCGAGGACAGGGCGCTCTTGAAGAAGGGATTGACGTCCTCACCGGAAAAATTGCCGAATAAATCGGAAACCCTCCGCAAGAAGAGTCTCAACCGCTCCACCAGCCTGTGGAACGTACCTGCAGACCGCGAGCATGTGAAAATCACTCGTCACTCTGTTGGGGGAAAATTTGAGGGTAAGGATCGCACTCGTGATGGATTGAACAGAGCCACCAGCTTGTGGAGTGTCCCAACAGACAATTCGGGAAATCTTGCGAGAGCTAAATCCATAAATGCCCTCAGACCGAGTAAAATTCCCCTGTTTACTCATCACTTTGGGAGTCAGAGTCATATTGGTAACTCTATGGGCGATCTACTCATTGTAGATCGATTCCCTGATAAGTTCCCTGATAAGAGCTACACCAAGATTGAGGATTTCCGGGATGAGGTGGATCATGCCTCCTCCGAGCACATCTATCAGAATTGTCGTGAAGCTGTTGGTCATTGCAATAGTCAGAATGCTCCACCGATTTATGAGAATATTCAGAAGCAGGATAAATCGAGGAAGGAGTTGATGAGGACTGTGTCGGTGCATACTTTGGAGGGTCCTGTCAGCTTCTTGGAGGCGAGAGCTGCTGAACTAATGGCCCAGCTCGACAAGGACGACGACGACAACAACGACGAAACGATGATGTCGAGTCCTCAAGGGCAAAACAATGAAGATTTGCAGAAAATTAAAACAGAACAAACTGAGCCATCAGAGCAGGCAGAACAGACCGAACAGACAGCACAGACAGAACAGACCCGCAAGAAAGAGTTGGTCAAATCCAGGGAGAACTTGATTGGCAAAATGCCCACCTCCCCTAAAGGCCAGGACTGCTTCCTCGGGCGTCAACCGGAGGTGAATATCCAGGAGATTCGAAAAACTTGGGAGAATCAGATCAAGCAATCCCAGCACTCCGATGACGCAGACAAAAAAATATCTGACAAACAAGTGAATTGTCCAGGGAAGAGGACAAAAGACATCGAACAATTGGTGAATTTCTTCAACTGTAAGAACGAGAAAGCCTCGAAGGAGGCTGGTACTGATAACTGGAAGCTGAAAGAGCCTCCCATAGCGATTATTCCGAAGAAGGATGAGAAAGCCAATGGGTATTCCTCAGATGGCAATTGCTCCGAAGACAGTGGCCATATCAGCAATGAAAATTATGTCGAGTGGAAGGAAGATAACAGTGTTGATTCGAAGAATATCGAGAAGACCGAGAGCTTCCTCAAGGGCATTATTCACGACCTGGACAGCAGTCTCGAGAGAACGATCGAGGCCTTCGATGCTTTACCAATTGTTCAGAGATATGTTCCTGAAGAGCCTAAGGGCAAGAGAAATCTCAAAAGATCCGGGTCCAACTGGGAGGAATGCCAAAGTGTGACCACCACCAAGGCAGATTCTAAAATCACTGCCACTGGAAATACTGGAGATAAGGTCAAGATTATTGGCATTACGGGCTACCGCACTAAGGTAGTGGGACGCTTTGTGGTTTTCAGGGAAATAATAAACTGAGCGTGTAGGTCGGTCTATCCTAGATATCTTCAACTCGTTTTGCATGCTCGTCGCTGCTATTTCCCTTCTTACCTACGTATTGCTTATTACTATTACTATTTTCATTCCTCTTTGACGCGCGGGTAATTGCCATCATTATCGTTGTTTGAGATATCTTAAATGTCATCGCATCGTCGTGGAAATGAGTTTTCAGTTTATGATTGTCGTTACTAATTTTCTTAGCAACTCGATCTTCTCTTTGAATCGTCTCGATGAGTTTCGAAGCAGTTCAAAGATTGTATTGAAAGATATAGAATTAAAGGGACAAGTTGGGTAATGAGTTTTCGAGGAAGACGGGAACATTTTTGGAAGAACGTTTTTTGTAATTATTTATTATGTTTTACTTGTTTATCACTGAATTTTAGGAATTGATAATTGAATTAGGTTTAGAATTAGGGTTGTGAATTCTAAATGTGGAATAATGTCATTGGTAGATATCGAATGTTGTTTTGAATATCGGGGCCGATGGAGCGTAAATACTAGCTCAAATGTGCGACGGGATTCTAAAAAGAAAATTAATACCTGGATATGCTTAATTGGCAGGTTTTCTCATTACTCCATTGATTATAGCTGACGTTTTTCTTTATCTTTTTAATTCCAGATATTCTTCAGAGCTGGGGCACTGGAGAGACTGGAGTCTCAACGGGATGAAAAATTAACTGGTCACATAATACTGCTGCAAGCTAGATGCAGAGGGTACCTAGCACGCAGGAAACTCAATACTCTGAAGGTAAGAGTGATGTGATTGATGCTGTTGTGGATGTTGTTTTTTTAAACTGTCATTATCATGATTGAAACAACCTGCTCTGGAGGAAAGTGAGTGATGGGGCGGATAATCGATGCGTTTTAAATTTCAACTGCAACATTTGAAAACAATTTTAAAAGATAAAAAAATCCTGGAGTCTGCTTTATTTTTTCAAATCTTCCGCTTTCACTATTACTCCAATCAAATTAAAAATCTTCGCAAATTATCTTCGCAATATTGACATTTTTTTTCAAAAATCTCTAAACAATGAAACTAGTTGGCAAAATTAAATTACAATAGAAATTCAACGATTCCAGTTTAAAAATTATCTCTAAATCTAAGAGTGACAGAAAAGTATTCGTGAATACCTTTTTTTTAGATCTCATTCTGTCCTGCAAAAAAGGTCCTGAGAAAAATAAGTCAATTAAACAACATACTTTAGATTTAGAGATATTCCTCGAGAAGCTGAACTAATTCTTATCGTTTGCGGGTTGGCTACAGAGGTGATTAGTAAAACGAGAGAAGAGAGTTATAGTACGAATAATCGATGGGTTTGAAATTTCAGCTGCAGGATCTCGCAGTGAGGTGCATCCAGAGGAACGTGAGGAAGCTGATGTCTGTACGAGAGTGGCCTTGGTGGAGGCTGTACGTAAAAGTTGCGCCATTGCTCAACGTCCACAGAACCGAGGATCAGCTCAAAGCACGAACGGTTTGTTATTCAACGATTTTCAAATTCATAAAAGAGCGTGATCGAAAAAAAACCCGAGATATCGAAAGTATCACACCAATTTTTCACCTTGTCTCTCAACCAGTTTTGGTTTTTATCGCGTAAAAAGAAAATAAATGGCGTTAATACACTTGGATTTTGTATTTCATCGAAGAAAGTATGCAATTACTTTTGCCGTTAAAAAATACAAATAAATAAAGATTTTTTCCATTCAGGAGGAACTCGAAGTGTTGCGTGCTAAAGTCGAGAAACTGGAGCAAGAAAGAAATCACTTGAAGCATGACAACGACAAGCTCGAAGCCAAGGTAAGCAATATTTGCTTAACAAATATTTGTTTTTTTATTTCAAGGCAAGATAAATCGCGTCTATGATGCACCACTGATTCAATTACTATAATTATCAACTTGTTTTATCGATTCATCAACATCGAGTGATTGAGACTTGACGTGAGAAGAAAAAAATTATAAAGAAAAAAAAAATCGAGGAACGATAACTGCAGGAAAAATTTCTAGTAAATTGGCGTTAAAATTTCGAAAGTTTAAATAATAATTACTCGCTAAAAATGTCCAAAGACCTGCGGTCAAATGAACATCAACTGAATACTCTAATTTCACCAGATGAAAAATAGATATTTTGTTGTTGTCGTCACCTAGAAGTATGTAAGTGCAATTCCAAGATGAAAACTGCAATCACCTCATTACCATTAACTCGAGAAAGTGTCACCATCGCATACAAAAATTTTCCCATTACCACCGGAAGACCTCTCGTGACCTGCTGCGTCTCTTCCTCGAGTAGACGACGATCTCCATTTCGAAATAACAAAGTCCTCCGAAGAACACGTCTCATGATCGTTTAATCTCGTTCGAGATAGACACCGACGCGTGCGGATGCTCTGTTCCACTTAGCCTGATGCTCCCTCGATTAGCCTGAATTCGATCCTCAATACCGCATTAATCCATACTCCTCGATAGCCACAAGAGAGCATTACTTCGTAATTTAGTAATTCATCAAGAAATCCGGAAGAAAGAACGGAGACAATCCGACAAAAACCTGTGGTGAGCTTTGGAATTTCTCCAGCTATTCAAAACTTCTTCCTCATAACACTTTCAGTTCATCTCTGCCTCAAATTTCAGCGATCCTCAAAATAGTGGCATTGAAATACTAAATCGATACTATTCCATTATTTTCTGTTGAAATTATTTGGAAATCAATAAAATAGTCGATTTTTTAATTCAATCATTCTGACAGCGTCCGTCTCACACCTTTCGAAAAGAAATAAGAGAAGAAAAATCGGCGATTAACTGAATTGAACCGGTAAAAACGGTAGGAAAAATCATCACGTATTTTTTTTTGTAAAAAGGAAATAAATGAAGAAGTGCATAAATACTAAATCGAATGGATTCGTATAAATAAGAATAATAATCAGAGCGATTGGAAAGCTTCGATCGGAAAAAAACCGGTACTGGCCTCGATGAACTTAATCTTCTCCGATTTTTCACTTCGCCAATGTCTGTCCGACATTGGCACGTCGCCAGAATCGTCGCAAGCGATCTCTCTCTCAGAATAACCCGGAGGTGATCACCACCGTACACCAGGGTGGGCCTGAACACCCAGTCGTCTCTCTGCTCCTCGACATTTCGGATCGTTCGTTGATTATGCAATCCGATAGACTCGGCGATGAGCCTCCGAAGATGGTAAACGGGAGAGTGATGTATAAGTAATTGAGTACTTGATAAAAATTCAGGGGTGGGAAATGCCGCTGTGCCCGACGAATCTGGTGAGAACGATGCCATCAAATCTCTCGACTTCTGGACCAGATGTTGGCAATAACGTGATTAATGGTTATTCATCGGGTATGAAAAGTCCAGAGGGAAGTGTGCGAAGGCCTCCTCTGCCACCGACTCACATAAGACCTCGAGGGATCAGTAAAATAGCTGTTATTCGGCCAAATAATACCGCGAGGATCTTCAGCAGGAGTCCCTCACCCGCGTTGTCCACCAGCTCGAGGGCTCCTTCCAGCGTTTGCTACCCCAACAGCTCGAGGTCCTCCATCACATCTGGGAATTGCCTCTGCAAGTCTCCAACTCCCAGAAGAATATTTCCCCAGGAGTCTGGAGTCTGTCCGGACCTGGAGGAGCTGTCTTCCAAGGAGCAGGCACCTGTCGTTTTCGATGCGAGTCTGAATTTTGTGTTGGGGATTGATAAGCAGAGGGTCAGGCAGTCATTCCGTCCGATGGCCTCTCATCTCGAGCCGCAGACTGCTTCCAATTTATTGTCATCCAAGATATCTCAGTTCCTGCAGAGGACTGATCATATCATGGAGGAGTGGAAGAGACTTGGGAGGAAGGACAATGGAAATGACCTTGAAAATCTTTCCATGCCCTACGATAAGTTTAAGAGACTTGGTAGGAGCAAGAGTGTCACCAATATCATGATCAAGGGCTTCCAGTACTACAGTCGGGCTAGCAGTGCTGCCCGGAGCATTTCTGATTCAAATGCCAAGTTGTCGAGACTGTCGGAGGACAGAACTTTGTCTGAGTTTGATGATAATGAGGTATTCAATCACTGTGTGGCGGAATCTTTTTAAAAATTTTCTTTTTCTAGTGAAAGTTTTAGAAAATTGAAGAATCAAAGTCCCGAACTGATTCCAAAAAATTCACAATTATTCTGAGTTCAAAGTTTTAATTAGATCCAACTCTGTGACAAATTCAGTCGATTTGGTAAAATTATCATATATTTACCGCAATTTAATTGACAAATTTCACTAGCTAAGGGAAACCGAAAATTTTCTAAATTCATTTATTACAATTTGTTTATAAAAATATCGAGTTTCTATCTAGACATCGTTATCTAGAGATTTCTAGGCGATTAAATGTCCGCCAGAAGATCGTAAGGAAAAATCAGAAAATCAGAATTTATTAAAGGCTGAAATAATAAAGTACTATGATATTCTCAACATGATTTCATAATGGCAGAGACGTGAGAGACGAACTAGACTCTTTAACGGTTTCTCCTGTTGATTACCGATTAATCTCCCTCAGTGCAATAACTCAAAATGTTTTTACACCATTTTCTCATTAATTGTTGTCATGTTTGAAGTCATCAGCGCCTATTGCTCTTCTCTAATTACAGTTAAGCGTCATGACAGCTGATTACGCCGAGGAGCATTCGACTTCGACTCTAGCAGCTGAACGAATAGACGCCGAGACGTCAGAAAGATTGCGCCTGGAGCGAGAGCTCCAGGATGTCACCGAGGCCCACAAGAATCTCCAGCAAACAACGGAGCGACTCGAGATGGAATTGCTGTACGCCAGGGCAGCCGATTTGAATGGAATTGTTTCGGACGGAGAGGACGGGGAGGACGGCGGTGTCTATAAACAGAGATACGAGCACGCGATACGTGAATTAGAGTTCATCAAGCGTAAAATGGCACAACAACACGAGGACGATTTAGAACAGCTCGTGGGACTCAAGAAGCAGCTCGAGAAGAAGGTGAGTTTTTCCATCAACTTCTTCCCACAAGAGAGATTATCCGCTTTATTTTAATTATTATTAAAATTAAACCCAAAGAACAACTAAAGCACGAATTATTATTACATACTACTAATTAATATTTATAATCTACTTGTCATTCCTGCCCTCATTTTTAGAAAATAATTCTCGGTTTGATATCATAAAAACAGATAACACAATGTTATCACGAGAGTAGTTGCAATGTATTATTCATGAGAAATTGAATTGATCACTGAATTTAATTAGACCACTGATTGATTGATGGATGTTATTATTGATTTTTGTGTTTTTCTGACATTCATCAGCTTGGTGACGCGTACGAGGAAGTTGAAGAACAGCGACAAGTTGTTGGTCAATGGAAACGCCGTGTTCAGAAATTGAATGGAGAAATGCACGATTTGAGACTTCTCCTGGAGGAACAGACCGCGAGGAACAATCTGCTGGAGAAAAAACAACGGAAGTGAGTGGATAAATAAGACAGAGATATTTGGATGATCCGATTTCTGTAGACTTGTAAATAGGGTATCAACTTAGTCTGCCGGATGCCGGTAGATCTTGCGTTCTATTCCCATTTCTCAAATGTCCTCAACAAGTGTTTTGGCCTCATGCCAAACTACTGTGTATACACACGATACCTGCAATTCAGAGATTTAGAGCCTGCGACGGGATTTAAATAGACTCTAATATTAGGGGATATAATATATATCTTCGTGAATCCGAGTTGTCAATACACCGGTGAAAATACGTTCTTTGGTTTATGAGATTTCAATGTTTCAGGTTCGATTCGGAGACACAGAATCTTATAGATGATTTGAGGCAGGAGAAAGCGCAGAGGGAGAGATTGGCACGGGAAAAGGAAATTGCTATTGCTGAGAAATTCACAATTGAACAAAATTTGAGTGTAAGCTGCTATTTCCGACTGTCATTTCCTATTCATCTACTTTAACATTGAATTTACACGTAGAGAAAACTTCATTCATTCATTTCTCCTTTCTCTACTATACAAAAATCGTATTCATTCATTCAATTAATTATAATGATTTGAAACCGACTATTGAAAAAATAACACCTTGAAATCTTGAAAATCAGGATGCTAAATTGGAAATCGAGCTGCAGGAGGAGCGCCTGCATACTCTTTCCCAAGAGCTAGAGGAGTTGACCTTCGGTGGAAAAACTGAGGAAGAAGTGGCCCAATTGAAAAAAGCAAAACACGAACTCGAGAAAAAATGCAAGGATCAGGAAGAGGAGCTGGACGATCTTGCAGGTCAAGTCCAACTGCTGGAGCAGGCGAAGCTGCGATTGGAGATGAGTATCGAGCAGCAGAGGAAGGAAATGAGAAAAGAAATGCAGCAGCGTGACGAGGAGTTGGAAGACGTTCGTGGTAATGCCCACAAGAAGGTGAAAGCCCTGGAGGCACAGCTGGAGAATGAACACGAGGAGAGGACAATTTTGCTCCGTGAGAAGCACGAGTTGGAGAGGCGACTGGTGGCCTTTGAGGATCAGGATCGATCGGATAGAGCGGCCGAGGCTGAGACGACCCAGAGACTCAAGAGAGATTTGAAGAGGACACGAGCACTTCTGAGGGATGCCCAAACGATGCTGGAGAGGTCTAAAGGGGATTCAACGGGTAAAGCAGCACTGAGACAGCTGAAAAATCAGCTGGAGGATGCTGAGTGCGCTCGAGCTGTTGCTGTCAAGGCGAAACAGGCACTGGAACAGGAACTCAATGAGACTCAGGCTGTGTTGGATGAGGCCTCCAAAGCGAGATCAGAGGCTGAGGAAAGGGCCAATGTTGCCAATCGTGAGAGAACAGAATTGATATCACAATTGGAGGAGAATGAGGAGGAGCTTGCGGAGGTACTGAAAAAATATAGAGCAGCTGTCCAGCAAGTGTCCAGTGAGCAGTCCCAGTTGCAAGAAGCTCAGGTGCAGATGTCGGCTCTCGAGGCTGAGAAATCAGCTCTCAAGGATCAGCTGATGGAGCTGAGCCAACGACTGGAGTCTGTGGAACAACTGGGCGATCCAACTGCTAATAGTCTAGCCACGAGACGTCTTGAGTTCAGGGCTAAAGAGCTGGAGAGTAAACTCGAGCTTGAACAGACCACTCGGGCTAGGGTTGAGACACAGATCGCCAGGATGAAGGAGACTGTCGATAAATTACAGACCGAAACTGCTTTGTTGAGGACCAAGGAGCAAACTGCTCAGGACGCTGTCCGGAGGCTTCAGAGATCTCTCAGGGAGTTGAAGGATGAGGCCAGCTCTGCCACTGCCAGGGAACAGGAGGCGACGAGGGCCCGGAGAGATTTGGAAAAGGCTCTCGATGCCGCTGAGGCTGAGACTAAAATCGCTAGAGATGACTTGAGACTCGCTCTGCAGAGGATCGATGATTTACAGAGTGCCATTCAGGGGGAACTCGATCTCGATTGCAGCGAGGAGGGGACCAGTGAAAATAGCGATAGGTGAGCAATTTTTTTCAGTCGGCAATATATATTTATTATAATTATAAATAATAATTATTGTTCTCTAAATCAAGTGAATAATTTGATTTGTTTTATTAATTCCAGTGATTGATCAACTGCTTCAGCGGATTGTGAACCAAATTCACATTTGGAATTCACGAGGAACAACTGAAAATAAGGCTGACCACCTTGAACAAATGAAAAACTTTTGCAACAATTTCATCGAACTGAAGAGTCAATCACAAGGGATCATCATCATGGGATTAGTATTAACCCACCCATTTTTTTTTCTTAAAACATGCTAATCACGATGTTAGGAAGTCTTTAATATTTTTTTCAATTAATTTGCCTGACGGTGTCAGGTCAAATGAGGAGTATATAAAAAGTACGTGAAATGAGCGATTAAGAATCTAAACGCCTTGAGTGAGTGCCGAAGTGATTTTATTTCAATCTAATTACTCATTTGCTATTTATTTTTCTGGTGCTAATATGTGTTCGAAAGATCTTACGCTCATGTCTTCCAAGAGCACAAGCCATTCGATCAAAAGTAGTTGATGTCGTTTGAAAAATGTTCACGATGCGTTCACGATTCACCGCCTGAACAATGTTTGACTGAAATTTAAAAAAAAAATACTCGCGTATCAGTTGAGTTCAAGTCACACATTCACATGGCACTTTTATACGTGTATACGAGAGACACTTGATGCAAGAAAAATGAATTGAGGCGGTCAATGTTGAAGTATCTGTATAAGTCGACTGCGAACAATTGATTGATGTTCTAGTTTCATGTGCGGAACATTATGTAACTTATTTGCTTTGTAAAATGCAGATCTTATTTAATTAAAAATATTTACATTCATTCTATCTCCCTTTTTATCCTACATGATAATCTGTATTGTTTATAAAAATATAAAATTAAAAATTGAGTTCTTTTCGATAATTGTACAAATCTCTCTCCAAAAGGAAAATTTTTATTTTTTACTTTTACATTGGTTTCTTACAGTTAAAATTGGGGACATAATTGCAAATTTTGTTTTTTATTAATTTGGTTTTCATAAATGAATAACTGACATTGTTATCTCATTTGAAATGATTTCATGAATCATTCGCAATGTTTTCTAAATCGTTTTTTATATTTTCATAACGCGAGAAATTGAATTGGTCTCTTCAAAGCCCAAAAATATTATCAAATAAAACCTAGACAAAGGCTTTACTTATCGACGAAAATTTGTAAAGCATTTGGATTTTCTTCCACTCTTTCCCCACCACATTATCGATTTTTGTTGAAAGGTGTAAAAATAGTATTGCATTAGTCATGTCAACACAAAAATATTACTTTCACGTAACATGACGTAAACTACTTGTCCCATGAACAGTTTCGACAAAATAACGTTGAAATATTGAAATTGAAAATTATTAACAAGACCTTTGTTACAATAAAATGAGAGTCATGAAAAATGTCACAAAAATTTCGCTAGCTTCTCAAATTATTCTTCGGAAATTTATCTATCGAAAAAAATCGACAATTATACTTCACCCCTGAATTATTTCTTCCTCTGCGATGATCGCTATTTTTTTTTTCATTTTACATCAGATAATCACAATTCTTCGTTCAAGGATCTCAGCATTTCTTGCAAATCGTCATTCAACAAGTGTAATTCTCCAGGTTTCCGAATCGGACTCTCAGTCATGGGCTTTTTCTTCTTGGGTGACTCCTTTTTAGGTGCCTCTTTCTTCGGGCGTTTCCAGCCAGATGGTTTACCATCCAAGGGGCTCATGTTGCCCTGTAGTTCCTCAGTATCTACCACCAGGATTACGGTCCACAGCAGCAAAAGGAGTACCACAAAATTCATGTTCATTTTTCTGGCTTGAAACGTACGTTCTCTAGGTACACTGTGTAATCAATATTATTCTCTTCTTCGGCATTCCATATTATCTATTTTTGCATGCGTGGCACTGAAAATTATGTGACTGGTACGAGGGGCTACTGTATTTTACGGTGGATAATAAAACTGATAATGAAAATGGATGGTTTTTCTAGCCGATGAATGAACACCGCAAAAAACAATTCTGCGATTCAATTCGAAGGCCAATAAATTGATAAAATACATGTGTATTCTTACATCAATCGGAGGTTTTCGATTATAGTTAATTCAATTGGGGATTTTTTTTTCTATTTCAATTCTATTTATCTTTTATGAGAACAAAAAATTTTTCATCATAAAAAAAAATCCGCACTTATTATTACTTCAAACTCAGCAATTCCCTGATACTTTGTGAAAATCAATTTGAAATTCCAGTTTTTTAACAGATGCTTAGAAAATTTTCTGTGAAATTTTGAGCAAAACCCAATCGAAAAACGAAAAATAATTTCTAACAATGAAAAATCCCAGTAAAAAAGTAAATAGACAAAACCTCTAATCTGAACAAATAAATACTCACTCCAGGTGCCCTAAAAGTTACTAGACAACCCTCAGAAAAAATCCTCAAAAAAACCATGCCTTCGCTTCGAACAAGCTAAAAAATCCACCCCTCACCCCTAAACTAACGCTGAAGCTCTCGAATCCCCCGCACATTTCCACTCGGAATCCTTCAATTTCCCCTGACACCCCTCCACAAACACACACAGACACAAATCCCACACAAATCCATTTGTTGTGTGTAGCACCCGCCATCTTGCTGCCTTTCGACAACTGACATGTCTTTCTAATGTTATTATCACTCAACTATTTACGCCAAACGTGATCCAAGGTGTTGCAAATCCCCAAAACCCTCCGCCTAGTAAATAATAAAACTCACCCCAGTGGATTTTCAAGGCCTTCCACCCCTGTTCGTACCCAAATAATCTTCAATAGTCCAGAAGAAGCCCCTGGTGCTCCAAGTGAGATAATCTGAATGTGACCACTGATCGGTGAGTTTTCCTCTCCAAAAGTCCCAATAACTCAATAAAAAATCACCACAAACCTAAGAAAACCATTAATTCCTTGTTGTCAGACACTATCACGTGGAGGACTCGAGTCGTCATCATGTTTTATTGGTATTCATTGAGGTTGGACGTTTGTCAAACATAACCAACAAATCTAAAAAGCTCATCAACTTATTTTAATCCCTGTCAATGGCAATGACGTTTGACGTTCAATGGAAATAAACGTCACACTGATCAACTGATCGACCCCGGAGGATCATCGAGCTTAATTAGGAGGATGATAAACGGCTGCATGAGGCAAGGATATTTTTTCCACCATCTCCACACAGACTCGATTCCCCCCAGGTCACTCCAAAGTGCACATTGTCATCATTAATGCTAATACCTACCATACTTTTCCCTGGAAAAGATAGCAGGGATTGACGTATTAAATTCCTACTGACAATTGTTGAGTAATAATTCATTATAATTGATAAGTTGAAAGCCTGTTGGAGTGATGTGGTGGAATCAAGGCTGTTCAAATAGGTGGGGATTATTACATGGAGCCTTTGAGAATGCAGGTGGAACAGTCTGGAGCCAATGGATTCGATGAAAATACAGATCAATCAGACGATGGACAGTAAACTAAAGTTCTCGGATCGTTTGAAAGCCCTCTTGAAAACTGAGTCACGACAGGATGTCGATCCGTACGTATTCAGTGAGCCTGAGCCAATGCTCTCCACAAGGGCATCAGAGGTGAAGAGAAATCACCAGGCAACGATAAAGTCCACGGGGAGGGGCAAATGCGTCAAGAGAAAAACCAAGGATGCCACTGTGGGGACGAGTGAGCCACAGGATGACTTGGATCCAAGTGACAGGACTTTGGAGTTGTTGACCAATCCTCTGAGATCCAAACGAGATGATCAGGCTTCGCAGAGGCGACAGGGACGTGATCACACGTTGCTTTATTATCCGAGGGCTGGTGACGAAATATCAGACAGTGAGTCCAGTGGTGACGAGCTGAGTATTTATCAGAGACACTGGTTCACTGGAGAGATTACGGGGTCTAGATCTGCCAGACTGTCCCAGGTGAGGTCACAGCTCAGGAGACGTCTCGTTCAGCTGCATAAGGGTGGACAGGAGTCTGAACGATTGCTCAGGATGAGAACTCAGAGACTTCTCGAGACGGCTGCAAGGAGTCAGCTGACGAATCGCCTCAGATCAGCTGTCATAAGCAGATCGGCTGTTCCTCTTCTTGCTGGTGGAGCCTGCGGTGTCGATGGCTGCAGGCAATCGTCATTACCATCCACTCGTCATTGTTCCCAACATATTATGCTTAACAGTGATCAATTGTTATTCGAGCACTGCACTGCCAAATTCAGTGACAATACACAGTGTTGTGTACCTGTTTTTGATGTTACGCATGAATTACCGTTGTGCCCCGAGCACGCACGTAAACGTGACAATTATAATCGTAAAGCTCAGGAAACAAAGCCAAAGAAAACGAGAAAAAAGTCGACGTCGCCAAGCATTCCAAGGCCCAAGAGTAATAAGTCGAGGCCCAAGAAGAGAAAACGACCACCAACGATAAAGCCTATTGAGGAGAAACTTGTTGACTGTTTTGAGGAGCATTATGGAGGGGAGATTATTCAGGACAACTTGGGGAACAAGACTTTGAATAATATTAATATTGTCGCACAGGGCACCTCCAATACCAATCTCAATACACTTGGATTGGGTCTAGGATCACTTGGCCTTGGAGGAGGGCTCAAGGTGGAACTCGGCGATCATGAGGTCTTTGCTGCCCTTGATCCCACTGAACATGACTTTGGCAATGTTTTGAATAATCTACCCGCTGATGCTTTCAATGATTTGTTTATTGGTAAGTGTTTGACATTTTATTATTATATAATCTCTTTGATAAACGAAAACTATCCTGAGATATAGAAAAAAAAAGCGATTGTGAACGTAAGAAAAAAAAGGAAGCAGAAAATTTTCCCCGAGTTTCGTGGAAATGTGAAAATAATCATCAATAAATTATATAGATCCATGAAAATCCCAATGATCTGATGAATATTATTATGACCCCCTCAGAGAGTCGAAATGGCGAGTACGAACCCTCGAGGGAGGAGGAGGAAGAGCTCGAAAGGGCTCTAGAAGCTGTAGACAAGGACGTGAGAAACCTCGAGCGAATGGGCCAGACCCATGGACTCCTAGAACCCGCGTTACTCGCCCAACTCATGTCAGACATTGCCTCGTAGCCAACAACCTAATCCCAATGATCAATCAAGATAAATTCGTTAAGTGGTTCAACTCAAGTGTGTTTGATTTTGAAATAACGAGTGAAAACAATGCGTCTGTGTATGTGGGATGGCTTTTACGTAAACAATTGTATCAATTTATATTGTTGTATAGTCTGGCTCAGTGTTAACAGAACGATCAACAGTTTCAGCTGACACACGAGGAAAAATGGAAAGAATATTATCTTTCCCGTGCACTGTAGAACATTTAGACCTAGTGCGAGTCACGAGGAAGAGGAAAATTCATGATTATGTTTTTCTTATGAGGAATATTAAATCCTGAGCAGGTACCTTCATCGGTAGACGTACGGCTAGATTCCTATTTTTATCCAATATTTTCTATTCGCTGTCTTTTCCTCCTCGCGATGTGAGTAATTCAGTAACAAAAAAATGAGCACTGTGATTACCATTTTTTTTTTTACCATAGGGTAACAACACAAATGTGAATACTATTGGAGGATGTTCCGTTTTATCTAGTTTAGGTGTTTGGTCACATTGACCGAGTAATGGCAACAAATGTAGGTAAAAATTTGGTGAGAGTAAATCAATTTTTGAATCTCTTGAGTCTCATTGACTCTCCACTGACGGATCGCTTTTTTTTTCTCGAACATGTCTTGTTTCGAGGAAATTCGTTCTGTAATCGTGTGGCAAAGGGAAGAATTTCTTTCCGAAATATCTCCGAAATCGAGAGAGATAATAAAATTTTTATTGGAATCTTTTTCGACAACTTTTACCACATTATTACTGAATTGCAACTTACAAATTACCAAAAGTCCGACTACTTGTGATAAACGTAGGGTGTAATGAGAATTAATTTTCTCTTCTACGAGGTGTCACAAATTATTGTTTTACTCAGCAATATTTGTAGTAAAGGACTTTTGATAATTTGAATTTTAATTTGATTCAAGCAAAACTGATTGGAGAAGAAAAATCTTCCTCTAGTGTGTGGAACATTTTGACGATAAATTTTTCCATTCCTCATCGTCAAACAATTTATCTAAATGTGGATGCTCCTGACATACCAATTCTAGTTTTTTTTTTTTTTTTTTCATTTTTTTCCTAGATTAAACAAGGCAAAAGGCCTCGGGAGCAAAAAAAAACTGGTGAAACACGACGAAAACTTGACATCTTTTCTGCATGATAGAGGAACAGACATTTCTGGATGATGGCTTGTAGATATATTATTTTTGTAGGAACTAGGAGAGGATGAATAATTCAGTAGTGAGAGGCATAAGATAACAAGTCAACTTGTTATGAGGGTGACAACACCCTCTACCTCTTCGCCACTGAATTCCAATAAATATTGTAAAATACGAGACAGTTAACATTTTTAAACAATCATTAAGAATTGACCCGAAATTTCCCGGAATTCGTTTGATCCTGTTCCTGTGAAATGAACGATTGGTTAGTCATTTGACAGATATTTCCTTTCTCCTTGACTGAGATTTCACCGAGAAAATGACAGTTTTTTTTTACTCAGGAGACCTCTTAAAAGATGTCAATGTCATTTGAAAAAAAGAAAAAAAGAAAATCTTTACTTTCTCTTAATTTCAAACTCTGATTGTTTGAATGTCGCTTTGTAAATACTTGCAAATGAAAAAAAAAACAATTTAATATGTGTAAATTATACGAAGAATATAATGGATAAAATATACGACCGCAATGGACGTTCGTGTAGTGTTTTCAGAGATTCGAGTGTTCATTGTTGACATAATTTCATCGGTAAAAATGTAATTCTCGTGACATCCGACAATTATCGATAATTAGATGTCGAGGATTATGAGATATTTATTTCTATGAATAGTGTGGAGAATTTGTGAAAGACAAATTAAAAGAATTTACACTCGAGTCTGCGTGTGGATTGAATCACGCGCGTAGGAGCCCTCAGGTTTTTTAATATTTCACATGCGTTTTTTGCAATAGCCAAATACCGACTGAAAATTATGATGAAAAGATATCGTTTATAACTATTGAATGAACAAAATCGGTTAAGAACAATTGAAAATGCTCCTCTCTAATCGTATAATGCCCAATTCTGTGTACGCCCTTGTAACATATTATCATGATTTTTTTATTAGTCAGTATAATAATTATAATAAGCATATTTTTTACATGGCCTAGTAGTGCTCTCTTATATTCATCCCGTCCAAGCTGAATATCACACGATGCTCTAGCCTGCCGATTCCTACCGATCATCTCGTTCAACATTAACTCCTAATTGTTCGATTTTTGTATGACAATTAGATAAATAATAACTAGATTCCTCAATTGAAGACAGGATTAATTTTCAATAGTCGTGGCTATAGATACTGCGTCTGAGTATGTACGATTTTGTCTCTCGTTTTCTCTTAAAATCCACATCTTCCTGGCGTTATTTCGTATTTCACGCCTTTTGCCACTTGTTCCACTGATTTTTGAAGCTGGATAAGTCTCCAGAATCTCTGGATGTGGACCAAAGTCCGGCATGCTCAGACCTTTTTTATCTAGAGTCTTAAAAGACAGCGGAATTTTTGCGTTCATTTGAAATGAAAAATTTCATTCGAAATTTAAAGTAGATTTTTTTTTATCAAAAAGTACTCACTCTGCTTTTTCTCATACGCTCTGACATACCACTTCTCCTCCTTTCCCACTTGTCCTCCTCTTCCTCCTCAACAATTTTCTCATCCTCCAGAGGCACTAGCATTATATCGTAATCCTCCCTGGAGTGCCCCAGGATTCCCATTTTAATCCCAAGATCCAGGAAATCTTCTTCATCCGCGAGTAGAGCGTTCTCCAGATAATTCACTCTAGGATCTCTCGACTGGAAAGCAATCAACCCTGCGAAGGGATTGACAGAATTCCAATTTATACAATTACACCAGATTTTTCATAAATAACGGTTGTAAAAAATCCTTTCATTAATTTAACCCCAGTAATAATTCACATAAAATTAACTAATCCATCCCCAATCACTCGTTAGTTGAAAAAATTAACAAAAACAATAAATAGTCTTCCAATTAGCGAAAGTAAAAAGAAAATTTCCAATACTGAAGGATTAAAAATGGTTACAATTGTATTATTGACTAGCTAAATTCAATTTGTTCATTAATATTTGCATTATAGTATCAATATAAAAAAATCGTTGGTAATCTTTGATTTCTTGGTGCGGAGGGGTAGAAACCGAATGGAGTGGAATATTTCTTGGAGAGATTCAGAATAAAGTAATTCACCCAATGATATGACGCGAAAATCACACACTTCACTGATCAGCTGTCGAGGAAGTGGAGAATTGACCAATAATTTCCTTTTGGGTGGCATTTTGGGGCCGTGGAGGATCCGAAACTCATCCTCTAGCATTCCTTTATTAATTATTCCCCCTGTCCTGCGATCCGCTGTGTTGTAGGCGTCCGTTCTGAATAATCGATGAAGTTCTACCTCTATAATTAATTTAAAATCCTCTCTAAACAAATAATCAACCTCTCCCCTTGTCGATATTTTTTAAATATTACATACAATTATAAAAAGCGAATATCTCCACAAAAATATAATATTTCCTTATTCACCTAAAATATCTTCATACCATTTCATGTGATTTTTAAATATTGAAAAAATTCACATAATACAAAGTAACTTATTAATAACTGTAATAATAATTGATGGATTATTATTATCATGTTATTAATGTGTAAAAGTATTCCCCAAATATCACATCGAAATGATATAAAAATATGAGAAGCGATTGCATTAACAAACAAATAAATAAATCCATAATTTTTTCAGTATAATAATTAATTTGGTAGTGCAGAAGTGATATTTATGTTTATTCATTAAAAAATAATGGTATCCCACTGGTTTTATGGGTTGATTCGGATGATAAGTAATTATGGAAATCTATTAGTCATGGGATCGATGAGAAAATACGGGAAAATAATGCAGAATTACCGATCAATGTAAAATGTTTTCTTTTCAAAGCGATCCAAATAATTCGATGAGCAATTCCGATGAGGACCTCGAAGATCCTCAAGTCTTTTTCACCTTGAGACTGCATTCCAGGGATTGATGTGCCTGCCAGCATGTGATGGTACTTAGCACTTGCACCAGATCCAACGACCAGTTCGCAGTACTCCCTGGCAAGTACACATCGCAGAATGTTCATTTCTTCGGCGCGTTTTATTCTGCCCCCTCCGGCCATTGGATTGGGTGCTTTCTTCATCGTCGCTGCGCGTTTCTTTATGATCTCCTCGTCCCAAATCGTAGTGTAGAATTGAAAGTAAATGATAAGCGCCCGGAGGAAACGATCCACCACCTCCAGGTGAAAAAAATTTATGAACTGAAGACTCACGGGAGTTGTCAACAAAAAAAGGGCGAGATTCTTTATGTCCTGGAGGATAATCACGTCTGGCTCGGGAGGAGTCACCCTCCGGAGATAGCATTTCCGGTATTTTATCTAGAAATTCATTGTTCCATTCTTTTTCAGTACAGAAATCGTGAGAGATATTAATTGATGGTTTATCTCGAAAACTGATCATCTCGAGAAATCATTGCCGATATATTCTCATTTCTTAAATTTTGTATACAAATATCATTTTTTTCTTTTACAAAATCGACAGTAACTTCTTAAATGCTGATTAAATTCCCAAAAAAGATATTTTAGATAATATATTTCAGTCTTTGCTTCCAAAATTTGTAATTATTGAAATCAATGGAACCGATTGTTCACAAGAAACTAGTAGAAAAAAAAATAGTTTTGTACACAAGCAAGAAAAGATAAAAAAAATGTTTTCTAATTCAATCGAATAACTAATCTTTGATTAGGCTTATCAAGAAATTATGAAGTTATTAATTAGATTAATAAAAATAATCTTCTCATATACTTTTTCCCCAGGATTCAGTATATCCAAAAAATTCAGGAATAAATACGCGTGGGGACAGTAGCTTTGGGACTGATGCACCGACTGTTTTTTCCGTTTTCTGCTCTTGATCTCCTCATCTCGTTGCTCAGTAACCCTTAAAAAATGGTACCATTTACAATTCTACGATTTTCAGTATTCCAAATAGAAAACATTTCCCTATTGTCGGTTCAAATTTACGGTTCAGAACCCAAATATATCATTTTTCCAACGCCATCCAGAATTCCTTGAACTTCCTCTCATCTCAACTTTCATTTTTCACAAAAACAGATTATTTTTATTTAATTATTATTTTATTACTTTTCCGTTTATTGCTTATTTTCCATTATTCATTTCCATTTTTTTTTATCGAATCTAGTTGGTAATTTTTTTTTCTATTACACATTCATATCTTATGAGGACACTGTGATGACAATTGACAATTTCGAAAAATCATAGGCTAAGAAATGATAAAATAAAAGAGCTAGGAAAATTGGAATTGGAAAAATGACTCAACTAGGTCGTAAAATCGACATAATGCAAGAAAATCTGTTCCCATGGATAATAATTACCCAAGAATTGTGAGTCCATCGTAAAAATCATCCCAGACGTATATTTTTTCTGCGAGTTCCATGAATCACAACTCGAGAATTTAGAAATGTGTCGAGGCCCATGAATGAACGGTACGTTGAAAGGAAATGCCTGAAGTTGTTGACATGTACGATATTGATTGTATCAGGCAGCACAGAGAGGTACTTTTAATAGACTCTGTCAGTTCCCTTAATTAATTTCAGTATTGCGGGGCCCACACCTCCGCAATCATATTTATTTATGACGAAATAAACTTCCAAATACAAAAAAAAATCGACTTCCCACGATTTCACTACGAATTCCAGCAGAATTAGTCTTCTAATTATCATTTACAATTGCAATCGTCTTTTTGAAGATTCCTCGGAGAATTTTGTACTTGTATTTCGTATTTTGAAGCGTATTTCTATTTTTAAAAAGATCCCGATGTTCCAGAGCAACAGGAATTATAAATTCTTGAATTATGACTTGAACGGAAAAAGAAACGAGTGACAATAAATTATTTAACGAGTTTATTACAAATCACGAAAGAATACAATTCAAAGAGGTTCGTCATAATCAACAGTTTGGTTTTGCCTTTCCCTCTGTACCAAAAAGGGAATCGGTAACGAATCAAGAACAGGCTTGTCTTCTGGAAACAAAGGCTCTGACATTTCTTTCCAGAAATTGACCACCACGGGAATCAACTTCCGATCGTGGACATCATTGCTGTGATGATGGATCCTACACCTAACAGGTGTCTTTTCTTTTCCATTAACTGTGATAATGACGTAGAACTCTCTATTCTCAATATCGTGATTGGGACCGGTGATTGTGTGATTTGGCATAGTGATGCAGTCCTCGTTGAGGTGAACGAGGGCCTTCCTGAAGGCTGACCTCACATGCCACGGCTCGAGGGTCCACGGTGTGTCGTTGGACATTATGATGCTGAGGATCATGTGCTTCAACACGTTTATTGTCCTTGGAACGAAGGGAGAGGTGTTTTCTGTTGGATTGTTTTTTTCGAGAACTGTATATTTCTGAGAGTTCTCCGGGGTGTCATAGACGGCAAGACCTGGTAGGAGCAGTTTGTTGTAAGCCTTGAAAGGCGCCACCGAGACCTTTTCCCCACGATTACCCAGACCATCGACGTATGTCGTCAGGATTAGACTCAATGCAGGTCGTTTGCTGTTGTCTGTATTCTTCACCAGGTCGTAGATGTAGTGACGACGTTTCAGGCTCGGGGGTTTACTCCCTTTTCGATAGAGAGGAGGTGGGTGTCTTCGTTTTAAGATGAATGTATTCTGAAATTTATCAAAAAGGAAATCATTGGTATTATCGCGAGAAGAACACTCGAAAAACGCTTGGCTTTCTTGGCTTATTTTTAAAAAATCATTAATCTTATGACAGATAAAAAACATTTTTCGAAATTCTTCACCTACTCTAGTCTGTTGTGCTACAACTCCATGATTAACCTGCAACAACTGACCGACATACTTTCTGAGTATATTTCCCGAAAACCCGGCACAATTCATTTTTTTTATAAAAACAATTACTCCAGAAAGATAATCTCTCAGAATTGCAGGTTACGTTCAGTTGAATTGAATAATGTTTGGTTATGTCATGCGATCGTCTCCTCCGGCCCCGAAAGTCCCCCGCAGAGGCGCGGGAAATCCCCTATGCCCAGAAAAAAAAAACCCCAGAATCTCTCTCCTCCGATTGGTCGAGCTTCGACCGATCGATACAACTGCGACATCCCTATAAGCCCACGCTCGCAGAATAAGTCGATAACCCAAACCATCCAGTCGCTTCTATTTCATAAACCGACTTAAGTAACCATTCGATATCCTCGGAAAATTAATTTCCATCCCGAGAAATCGATATCTCACCGGTGCAGCGGCAAAATCGTTTGAAAATCATCGAAAACCGCGGGCAATTGCCTGCAATCACCAAGTGCATCACACCTGTAAGAAAAAGACAACAATTTCCAAAGACCCATGATAAAGACCCTCTGATGTCTATGAATCCTGCCCCCAGGTAATACTCAGGTGACAAAATAAGTATAAATCGAGAATGGAAGAGACGAAGCCGTCAGTCTCGAGATCTCAGACAGAAATTCCAGATTCCAAAGTCCCAATACAAATGGTCTTGACAAAAATGATTGAGGAAAAGCACACGTTTTCCTACAAAAAATTGGTGGTACCAATGTCGATGAGGAGCGTCTACTGGAAGTTCTTCGGCTTCCCAGCGACCGAGGACGGTGATATCCTGACAAAAGTGAAAATTGTCTGTATCCTGTGCAAAACTCAGATCGCCTATAACCGGAACACGAGTAATTTGCGAATGCACCTGCAGAATAAACACAGTCAAGAGCTGATGGAGCTGGAAGCTGCGACACCCCCGAAGAAGCCAGGGGGTCAGTCAGCGAAGGACAAGAAGGTCCAGAAGAAGTTGTTGAAGGCGATGAACAATCATCACATCTACACGACGAATATCGATGGGACTGTCCAGATAGATGGGGACATTCAGTTCGTAACTGATCCAAATGTTGCCCTCTCGAACATGGAGGAGGATATCGGAGAGGAGTCACCAGTCAGGGTGATGATGAAAGAGCCCACGACCCCCTCGGGTACTAATGTCACCTACCTGATGCCTGAAGAGCATCAGCACAGCATCGACGAGAAGACAGTCTCTGATGCAATATCAGAATTTATTGTTATGGACCTGCAGCTGCCTGAGATCGTCGAGGGGAGAGGCTTTCAGAGGCTAATTGCCACCCTGAGATCACCTTGTGAAATACCCAGCAAGACTAAACTCGAGGAGGAGATAATTCCAAAGGTTTACGACAGCTTCAGAGACTCTGTCAACTCGACTATTGCCTGTCACACTGGGGAAATGGGTCTCGCCATCGAGGAGTGGAGATCCAACTCTGGCGAGAGCTTCGTCACTGTCTCTATGTTTTATGAGAACTCCATGGATAACATATTAGAGATGAAGGTGTTGAATACTCTTCATGTACCTCATGATTGGGGGGAGAACCAGTGGGGCTGTATGTTGGATTCTCTAGTAGCTGACTGGGAGCTCAGGGTCGACAGAATTACTGCGGTTGTCGTTGGGACCATGAGGAATGATCTTGTTGCTGCTTTGAATAGCAGAGGCCTCACTGTCATTCCTTGTCTCTTGAATACTCTTCAGGTGTGTGCTCAAGCATGTTTTGAAACACCGGAGGTCGCTGCCATTCTCAACAGGTGTAGGGCCATCATTGGGAGTATTGCGAGCAACAGTGCTGCGTCCGCTACGATGAACATGCAGGAACAGTTGTTGGAGGTTTGTTTCCTTCAGGAATTCCTGGGAGGGGGGGGGGGGGGGGGGCATCAAGGATGAAGGATTGTCAGAACCACGAATTGTTTCTCATTATTTTGATATTGCCATTTTTTTGTCGACAATATCTAGATTTCATTCTGCTTTAATAATCATTGGCAATATTTAGAATAAAAACGAAAATATTATTGCAATTCATTGTTGAATTGAAAACAATAGAATTTTATTCGTTTATCTGAGAAAACTGAGAATCGGTTGGAAAAGTGGTTTGTTAGAAATTCTTTTGTACATGAGAAAATTTTAATTTTTATGTTCGTTTACATTCCAGTTGGAAGAGAATTTGATGGCCATGGACTACCCCCAGGTATGGACGTCAACGTACACTATGTTGGAACAGATGATTGTTCGGAGTAACGTAATTACTTCAATATTTGAAACAGTCGATGGATTTGAACAAGAGGCGGCGGAGCTTACCAACGACCAGTGGAAAATCATGCAGGACTTGGTGGCAGTTCTCGAGCCCTTCAAGGTCACCATAATGACCCTGAGTGAGGAAAAAATGCCCCTGATATCACTGCTTAAACCATTGCTCTGGCAATTGGTGTCGTCTCATCTGAAGACCCAACCCACTGACAGTGAAATCGCCAGATCCTTCAAGGAATCACTCTCCGAGATGCTCGTGGAACGTTATGCCGACTCTGGAGTTGCTCTCGTGTTGCAGATAGCTACAACTCTCGACCCAAGGTATTTATTCTAAAGTGAATGCGAATATTCTCATAATTTTCTACTCCAACCTCTGTTCTTCAGCGAACAATTGAGCATTTTTATGAATTCAATTCCAAATGTTATTTTCCAGATTCAAACAACTTCCTTACGCAACCGAGGAAGACAAGACAATGGCTGCAGAACCCATTCGAGAGATGTTAACAAAACTAATTCAACAGGGAAAATCGGAGGAGTCAGACATAAAGGTTTCGTCTCCTCCTAATAAGAAACCCCGTCTATCTGGGATGGAGTTGCTCTTGGGTAACTTGTGTTCGGCGAAAATTGGAATGCCAGCGAAGGAGAAGGCTAATCTGGAATTAGTTCAATATCAGTCAGAGCCCACTGCAGCCCTGGACAGCTGCCCTCTCCAGTGGTGGTCGAAGATGTCAGCGAAGTGTCCAAACCTGTCAACATTAGCGAAGAGATACCACTGCGTACCCGCCTGCTGTGCGCCCTCCTCGAGAATTCCAGCTGAAGCTCAAGTTCTTCACGACAGCAGGCGATCTGCACTACCTCCTCATCTGGTTGACAAATTATTATTTCTTCATGGTAATCACATACCTTGAAATTTATTCCAAGGATTTTCCACAATTTGACAATGTATAAATGAAGTTTTATAATTTTTAGTGTCCGCTATTGTTTTATATTGTATATTCTAAGTATTAAAGTGATTAGTACAAATATTTACGCGAAATTTAATTGCTTTTCCACCCATTTTGATCCTTCGTAAAATCTTGGATCTCCAATTTTGAAGGCAGCTCTTTTGTAGAAATAATAATACAGCACTGCAACTGTAAATATTAATTCCAGAAATTCCGCATTAATTCGATTTATTACGAGAGGAGTAAACATTTTTTACAGGTATTACTTCTCGCTTACCTATTCTGTGAACGGCGTACAGTGAGTGGAATCCCTTTGTCCAGTAATGGATCAGTGGTTGTTGCCAGTGAATAGTCATATGCCAGATATGAAGACTGATATTTAATACTATGTAGATGACGCATAAAATGAGGGTTGTTCGAAAACGAAAATACAGCAGCTGTATCAGCCCTGCCTGTAAGTGATAAAAGACATTGTAAAATATAATCCACTTCAATCAATGAGTTCTAGAATACATTCTCAAAAAATCAGCTCACCTGGAAAATATAAGTTCCAAAGAAATTAACGAGGAGAATCGTGAGAGACACGATTAAACAAAAATCCTGAATTCTGCAAAGTGAAAATAATTTACAGCATATCTATGTAGAATTTTTTCAACTGAATAATAATAATTATTATTATATCAGCATAATCACTACAATATTATTCCCCAGGAAAGTTTTCGAGGAATATTTCGGATTCTAAAACAGATAACGAAATTTTTGATAAAATATTTTTTATAGAGTGAATTGGCAGTGTCAAAAAATGTAACAAAAATTTTTTTATATCTCTTGGATTCACAGATATTCCACGAAAAGTTATTAAGTTTGTTAAATGGACTAATTAGGCTTTACTTCTTGGTTACTAAATTATCTGAGGACTTCACTGGGTTTTATAATCATTTTTTTGCGTGGATGGAATGAATCACATACACGTAAAGTGAGAGGAGTTCCACAGGACGACTCCTGGTGAATCCTGCAAACGAGTTGACACAAACATCGAAGAAGAGTAATAAATTCTGCAACAGGACGATAGCAGTGTACTGTCTGCAGCCTGTGACATTCATTTACTCGTCTATTTTAGCACTAAATTACTTTTTTACACTTTTTTGACATGTCAGTTGTGCGTTTCATTTGTTGTGATGACAGCGGTTCGAATGTTCCCCTGGTTACCATTTGTTTTTATTAAACCGGAAACGAACATCACTTCATCGCCTGATAGCTTCAAACAACTTATTTCCGGTGACTAAAGTAGAAGCTCAGTCAAATAGGATTTCTGCGGTATGAATGCGTTTTGTTTTTTATTTGTTTAACTGAAATTTAGCCGACTGTAGCACGTACGGAAGGGGGAAACCACATCTTGTGGAATTTCAATGGAAAAAATTATTCAATATGTTGAAGATATACCACTAATGAATTTATATTTTTAAATGAGCCCGTTGGCCTAGCGGTAACGTGCTCGACTGGCAAGCCGGCGGCCCGGGTTCAATCCCGGCATCATTAATTTTTTTTTTTTTAAATAATTCCAATTTTTTTTTTGTTAATGGCAAATCAATCGAAATATTGTTTAAAAACTGAATATTTGATAATCGAGGAGATATGCAATGAAATTGAACAATTTGACATTTTTTAAAACGAAAGTTTTTCAATATATATACTCCTA